TTCTTTTCATGGGTTTCAATTACTTTATCCTTTACCTTGTTCCCCTGTCCTATCGCAGAACGACATTTGCTTGTTTCGATTCCCTGTCCGTCTGTCGATCCGTCCGTCCGTCTGTCCGTTCGCCTGCCCGCCCCCCTGGTGGCCGACGCACACCGCAGTGCGGAGCGAGCTCTGTTCCGCTCGACGAGGCAGGCGCTGCTTACAAACAATCACACACAAAGTGAACTGTTATAAATGAATTAGCAAACGCAGCGGCAGCAGCAGCCCGCCCGCCGCCGGGGAGGGGAGCAGTGCGGAGCAGAGAGCAGTGGGACGAGCTCAAAGGACACCGACGACGAAAAACTGTTGTTTGGCTGATCCCAAATCTCCGGCCGACCGACTCACAACACAGTCGTCCTCTTCTCTGCAGCCTGGAGGCCGGAGGCAGGGCATCCACTCGACTCATCGACTCCTGCAGAGCCGCTTGATCGGGGGACCGCCATAACACATAGTGTCCTGCAAAATTCGTGCTTGTAAAGCGGATGCGTCCACCGAATCGACTCAAGTCGACCAAGGGTCGACCGTGGTCCACGAAGTCGAACGAAGTCGCCAAAAGTCGGGAAAAGTTGACAGAAGTCGACAGAAGTCGACGAAAGTCGAAAAAAGTCGATTAAAGTCGACGAAAGTCGACGAAAGTCGACAAAAGTCGACGAAAGTCGACAAAAGTCGACAAAAGTCGATAAAAGTCGAGCAAAGTTGAATAAAGTCGACCGAGGTCGACCAAATCTCTCTATGGCGATGGCTGACATGCCAGCACGTGCAGCTGTCGTAGAGGTCCTTTACGGACGAACCCCTGTCGAAATAAAGCTGCTGCATCGACGACTCTCCGGATCGGCCCTCTGGCGCGGCAGCGCGGTGGTGAGCGCAGGGCGGCGAGGGTGACGACCGTGAGTAAGTTCATCTCGGCGCGTCAGCCAAAGAGGCACCGCCAGCAGCACCCCGCCCCGCCCCGCCCCACGGACACAATGCGCAGAAAAAAGGGCAGAGGACGACACACTTGATCTGATTTTGTCGCCGCGCCGCGCTGCCTGCGCCGCTGTCCCTCCAGGAGTGCGGCGGCGGCGGATCAGACGGCGAATAAGACGGCAAAGGCGGCGCAAAAGGTTCCGTCAATCGCAAATGTCGATGTGAATCCGTGCTCGAGTTGCGGCGGAGCTCGAGTGGATAGCAGAGAGAGCAGTGGCAAGCCCCGACTTATACCTATCGGCAAACAGCAGAAAAGAAGTGCGCCGCGTGTGGTGGCAAAAACCTTGGACAGCTTGTCGGCGAGGAGGAGGAGGACCGCCGCTGACTGTCGGCGGCCGCTTTGATCTGGCCTAATTAGACGGAAGTAGTAGAGCTGCCGGAGACACCCGGCCGGGACCGCCCCCGCAGGGGAGGGGGCGGGGGGACTTCCGCGCGGGGCCGAGTGTGCGGCAGGAGGACCGAGGCGGAAGGGTATCTTAAGCCCAGCGAGAGTTACGGTAAAGCTTCAACCAGGTGGACAATAACATCAATAGTCGTTAGTCGAGTGTTAGAGATGCACGGCTTGGGTACTGCCGGAGCCGATCTGCAAGCTCCTAAGCGACAAGATGTTGGTCCTCCAAGCGTACAAATCGCACTCATTTGGCATAGGTCGTTTCGGGCAAAATTGCGTACCGTTCTACATCTTGCAGCAGTTTCTGAGAATGCGACTGCATTTGGTCTCAAGGCGAAGTTAATATTCTCGTATTAGGGTGGTGCGAGCTGCACGCCCGACTCACCCCGCCCCGCACCTCGCCCCGCCCTCACGCTTACCTTTGCGATGTTCCTTTAGCAGCCTGCACCTCCGCCGCCGCCCCGCTAGCTGAACCGAATGTAATGCATACATATAACACACCCAGGGCGGGGAGAGCGAGAGAGACGGAGAGAGACGGAGAGAGGGAGTGAGAAAGAAAGAGAGATATTTTCGGTGTAAAGATAACGCGTCGTATAATACGGGTCGATTGTCGCGCGGCGCTGTGCTGCGGAGGCTGACGTTATTATGATGGTGATGTGTTTGTTGGTGTGAAGGAGAGAGAGGGGCGGGGGCACCGGAGCGGCGCCCCGCTGGGCCGCCCTGTGGATGGTGGTGATCGTCCAGGGGGAGCGGGACAAGCAGGACAAGAAGCAACAGCAGCAGCCACGGCGGCACTAGAGGGGGGAAAAAACGAATGCAGTTTATATCGAGTGATGGGGATATCTCGTCCACTCGGACAGCTCCTCGCAGCGGGCAGTCCTCTCTGGGCTCGGTGGGTCCGGCGGGGCCCCCCGGAGCGGGGCTGGCGGGCCCCGGAGGACTCCGGCGGGACTTACTCCGGGAGCCACACACACCACCGGATTAGCCGCGGACTCATTGTGCAGCGGGCCGGGCCGGGCCGGCCAAATGAGGAGCACTCGAGTGAGCCCATCAGCAAGTTGTTTTCAATATGAGAGAAAGGGGGGGGGGGGGGAGCAGAATCGAAGCTTGGGTAAGAGGAAGGATGATGATACAAACCAACCCCTTTTTATGCTAAAATAAAAAAAAAGAAGAAGAAGATTCGGCGTGCTGAACCTGAACACGGTAAAACAATGTCTGATTTCTTGAGCTAAAAAAAGGGGGAAACTATGGGAAATGCCCACGTTTGAAGTGATACTCTTAAGATTTGGAGGAAATCTTCCAAAAAACTGAGGGGAATTCCCGCATTTTTGGGGGAGACTTTCAAAATTTGACGAGTTTTCCAGCCCGAAAATGTGGGAGTTTCTCCTCAAATTTTGCCATTTTTCCAAAAAATAATTAGGCTTTTACTTTTTGCAGTGACAACGAAGTGTGAATAAAATGTCAATAAAACATGCATTCGTGTGCAGTTCTTCTTTCTTTTTCTTTTAAAGTGTAATCCGAACACGAGTATTGGCGTCTTTTCCTCGTTGCGTCCCTGCCCGGTCCTGCCCGGCCCCGCAGCAGCAGCAGCCAATACTAATCATGTCTCCGTGTCACGGGCCCATGTCTCACCCTTTCACAATGGCGGCCCCCCTCCCCTCCCTCCGCGCCCCGCGCTCAGCGCCGCTGTGCCGTGTCGGCGGGGGGTGGAGGGGGAGGGGAGGCGGGGGACGGAGGCCGCTGGGGCGCAAACCCTCGCATTATGTAATTCCAATCGACGGTGAAATGGAGCAGCCTGCACACAATGACAGAGCGAGGCGAGGGGGAGGAGGGGCGGGAGGGGAAGAGTAGGCGCACGAGCACCCGCTGCTGCCGAGGGATGACAGAAACACCAGCCGTGTCCATCCGTGTGTATGTGTGTGTGTGCGTGTGTGTACGTGTGTGAGTGTGTGCGTCAAGTTGTGTAATACCCCGTTTACTACGATCCCCCTCCCCTCACCTGCGTTATTGTGTTAAATTCCCTGTCTCCTTTCATCCAGTACATGTGTGTCTCTGCTCGCACCGGGCGCTCAGAAGCACCAGCAGCGGCAAAAAGTAGCCCCATCTCTCTTTCCACCTCTGTCCGTCCTTCTCTCGCTCTCTCTCTCTCTCTCGCTCGCACACACGGCCACCGCACACTTGAGAGCGTACTCGGGCATGCTAACATTGTGCACGCTGCGGGTGCACTCCACTGGTGTGGCATGGTGTCGAACAGACAGCAGGGCATGCTGAGCACCGCACACTTTTTCATAACCGATCCCTCTGCCTGATCCTGCTGACATAATTTTTTGAAATGTTTTCAATGTTGTTTTTTCTCCTCCGAATGTCCTTCTTCTTTGACGGCCACACTGAGCCGTGCATATCAGAAGGGCTTGCCGTAAGGATTCCGATGGTGTTGCTACCCGCAGCATCCGGGTTGTGTGGGGCGGTGGTATGGGGTGGTGTAGGAAGGGGTGGCGTGGCGTAGTGGGGCGCAGCAGCAGCAGCACAACTCTGTCCTTTCGCTGGCAAAATATTTACCCGTCCCGTTGCTGCTGCGCCGTCTCTCGTTTATCCGAGCCCCAAAGCTCTGATTTGCCATCCCCTCCCGCCCCTCCCCTCCGCCCCCATGTCCCTCATGTTCAGTTTGGCACAGGGCTGTGACAACAGTTGCTCTGTTTCCCGGCGGCGGGCACCAGAAGCGCCGTGCCGCGCTCAGCCAACATGGGCCTCGCTTCATACCCATCCACCTCCGGCCCACCGTCCCGCCGCATCCCTGCATGCTAAGAAGACGAATCACGTAGATGCGAAAATATATCATCGTTGAAATGTAGAAATTCGAGGAAAAAAATTCTCATTCCTTGCCTTCTTGTACCTCTTTAATTTTTTTCTCAGATATGTATGGGAAAATGTGCTGCTTTTTTTGTGAAATTTGCCTAACAGCATTCAGGGAATTCACAGTCGAAATTGGTGCAGTGTGAGTGTGAGAGTATTCTCGAAACCACGTACTACGCAAACGCAAATCTACATCAAAATTCTTTCTATGCACACATACATCAGCGATGGGGCTGCCTCATCTCTCTCTCTCTCTCTCTCTCTCTCTCTCTCTCTCTCTCTCTCTCTCTCTCTCCCTCTCTCCCTCTCTCCCTCTCTCTCTCTCTCTCACACACACACACACACACACACACACACACACACACACACACACACACACACTATCTCGGCGGTCCCCACTGGGGCGTGGTGCAGCTTCATCACGCATACCGACCCATGCTCCACCCCTATTGTTTTTCCCCGAAGCTCTGATGGCGACCCGCCGTCTGCTGATGAGGCTGAGCCGCTCGCGGGGGGCTGCGGGGGCTCAGGAAGTAGGGGCGAGAGAGGGGGAAAGGGAGGGGGAGGGGCAGCAAGGGAGGTCGTTTGGTAAACAGACAGTTTGTCTTGACAAGAACATGAGCTATCCAGCTGCTGTTGTTGGAGCTGGCTGCTGCTGATGCCGCACAGTTTGAACCCGTCGCACGACATAACGCGACCACATCACCACCCTCACCCCCTCACCCCACCCCCGTGAAAGTGAGGCTAGAAAGACTGATCTAGTGGTTTTATATTAAAAACTATATTTTACACTTTTACAAATTAAAATAAAACAGTGTGAACAAGTGCAGGTACTTATCACAAAATCTTCATTGAGATCATCATCGCTAACAACTCAACTTGTTATCGAGTTCTTCTCATGTCTATGGCTTGAGAGGCAGGTCCCATACCGGGTAACGTGGGGTAAAACTCTCGATCCCCATGGTGTACTGGTGTACTAGTTGTCACCGTTGGTGCTGGCCCAAGACGCTCTCTTCGTAACTCGGGGGCACTGCAATTTAAACAATTTAGACATTTCTTTTTTTCTGAAAATATTTTCTTGCTAGCTCCTCTCTGGGTTGATTAAAGAGTGCCACTTGCAAAAGTAGGGAGAAGAACAGCAAGTGAACAATAAGAATGGAAAGGGTAAGAAATTGCCATGGCGCTTTAAATTTTTGCACCATAGTAGGGGGTCGTATAAGTGAGTGGTAGAGAGCAATTGCTCAAGCGGGGCGAGGTGGCTGCCATTTCTGACCTCTGCTAATTTTAAATTGAAACAGGCACGGGATGAAGTACTGCGTTGATACTCACGGAGATCAGGGGAGGGCAGGCTCGGTGGTCCCCTTGGGTGTGCAAAGTCACCCGGCCAAGGCAAGCTCTTCTCTGGCAAGCTCTTCTCTGACAAGCTCTTCTCTGCAAAGGTCTTCTCTTCCAAGCTCTTCTCCGCCTCTGGAGCAGTGCCGATCAGGATGGGGGCCTTGATTTCTAGATTGAAGTGGGCACCACTGACCCGAGCCGTAACCTACAATAGTTAATTAAGAAAAAGAGTTGGTTGGACGGGTTTCATATTTTTTATATTTGTTGTGCTGCCTTCATGTGGTCATGCCAAAAATTAGCGGGTGCTTATTTCCTTATCAGCGTTTCTTATTGCGTTTCGGCCTCAACCACGATGCATTCGTATTCGGCTAGTGCGGCATTGAAAGACTTACCGCCAAGAAGTACTCCAAGTCTATGATATTGCAATTGTCCAGGTGAGACGGGAGCACTGGTGGCACGGTGAGTTCCTGACAGAAGGCCTTGGAGTGGTTGGCTGGCACCGGGCTGTCGAACACCAGGTCCACCACCCTCTCTGCCGTCTCCAGCGTATTGTTGTCTCTGGTCGCGTGCCACGTGACAACCTGCTTTCGGACCACAGCGATAAGTGTCTCACCTTCGATTTGAATATGGGCACTTTTCGTTAGTTTCATCGGCGAATTTCACCTGGATCAGAGCACCGCGTACGTTGACCACGTCAATGCTGCTCGCGTTGTCGACCTTGATCAGGAACGGAATGGTCTGCCCGGGGAAGTAGCCTCCTTTCGGAATTCTGACGCTCATAGTTAGAGGGCCTCCTGATGGTTCGCCCCAAAGAAGCGTAAACTCTTTGCTCTGGACACATTCCACGGGCTCCTATCGAAGAGGCGCATCATTTATTCATGTTCTTTATAGAGTATTAGAGACACTGGCTGGGCGTGGTATAAGCGACTAACCTTGGCCTGGGGAAACATGCTGAGGTCCACGACCGAGTTCACGGTGAAGGCGACCCGGGCCTCCACGGACCTCCACCGGCTGATGGTCGCCTTGGCCGTGTACCGGACGTAGCCGTGCCTGCCCTCGAACGAGTTGGGCAGGGTTTGCGGCAGGAGGCACTGGAAGGGGTACGTGTGGTCCCCGGCGTCGAGCGTCACCGTGCTGGCCTCTCCCCCGACGAAGTAGAGCGTGTGCCTGAAGTACTTCTCGTACGCCGAGTAAATCCTGTCCTTGACTCTGTGACTGTTCTCGCCGGTGCGGCAGGTACCGCGCTTCTCCGTCCACCACACGCTGGCGTCACCGCTGAACTTGATGCTGACGGCTACGGGGCGCACAGGATTGAGTTGAGCGAAGCCGCAACTCACACTTCATTTCACTGTGTCGGCGCCACAGACTCACCTCTGATCCTCTTGGGCTTGTCCACGTGGACGCGGACCCACCCGGACACCATCTCCCCCGGGGAGTACGTGGTCCGGGGTCCGTCGAAGCTGATCTCGATGGTGGTGGGCATGGTGAAGACACGGGGTATAGGCGTAGTTGCGCGGACTCTCACGGGCCTGGCGCCTTCGGTAGCCCACAGCTGACTGGGCCAAAGCAAGCGACGAGCTCAGCCTGTGACGAACACTCGTCCTACCGATAAGATCTTTGGCCTGCATTATATACTATCTGTGACGCGGACGGGCGTTCGGCGCGGAGGTGACGTATGGTGCCGATAAGGCGAGGACCAGGTGTCTAAAAATACAGTGACCGTAACCGCTGCGTGACACACCGATTGACATCGCCAATTTATTGTTATCGCGCAGGACTCGGTCTCGGTGCTCCGGTGAGTCACGGTACCTACGTTACAGAAACTTTCGTTTGGCTCGCAAGTAGCGGTGTTACTCATGTACCCACGCGAAGACCACAGGTCTACGGAGACCTATACGGTTGCAAAGTAAAGTGAAGTCGAGGATCGTCTGGCTAGTCCTCCCCAATGACTTCGAGGTCCGCTCGCAGGCTTACACCCAGAAAATCGTTTCTTTGAAACTAGAGAATTTTTCTTGAATCAACGAAACTGATCTAAAATGAACATGAGGAGTGTTTTCCTTTCGCCGAGGAAAATTTTTCCATAATGTGATAATTTTGTCGTTAGACCAAAGAAATTCTTTGAAACAAGAGAAAAATTTCTTTATGTTTTTTCAAGGAAACGATTTTTGTGTGTAGAAGAAGAGCTCGCCAATGAATGGCAATACGTCGTTATGCCGAGTAAGTCATTATAATGTATGAGTGAGCGGTGCGGCCGCCCTGGCAGGGCCTCTGGCCAGGGCTGGCAGCTCACACGAGTCGCATGTGTGCCGGGCGGGGAGATTAAAAGAAGAAGCCTCCTCCTCCCTCCTGCGTGCCGCCAAAAACACCAACCGCCTCAAAACAAGCTCGTTCTCACCCGGAGATGAAAACAGAAGTCCTCGCGTTCCGATAACACTAATTTGCTTCTTTCTTTCTCCCCCTTTCAGTCGTTCTCTCCCTCTCTTCTCACTCTCCTGTACAAGAGTGAGTGAGTGAGTGAGTGAGTGAGTGAGAGAGAGAGAGAGAGAGAGAGAGAGAGAGAGAGAGAGAGAGAGCAAGAGAGAGAGAGAGAGAGCAAGACACACTCCTCGCATCCTCGTGCGTGACACTAAACTCAGTTGTGGCTTCCGGCGGGCGGCATTGGGAAAAGGGAGGGGGTGGGGGGTCGTCGGTACGGTGGCAGACAGCTTGGAGCCCCTGGACCACGCCTCCGCAACACCGCCTGGTCCTAACGACTGTCTCTCTCTCTCTGCCCCCCCCCTCTCTCTCTCTCTCTCTCTCTCTCTCTCTACTAATCTTAAACAAACGTGGATTCACACCCGGCTGGCCCCACACACATCCTCTCGCTGGCTGTTTAGCTGTCGGATAGGAATAAGAAAGAAGGGAAGGGCGGAAGCAAACACTGTTTTGGTGTCGAGCGAGCTAGGAGAGAGGGAAAAAGGGGGGGGGGGGAATCAAGACCAAGCTTCTGCAAATAACTAATTTTATTTAGAAAAGTGATTTGTATATGTCAAAAAGTTTGTCTCTAGAGGACTCCGTGGGTAGAGAGGGGGAGAGAATGCGGGGTGGGGGTAAGGGGGGAGAGAATGAGAGGGTTAGTTCAAAGGGAAAGTGAAGACAAAGTGTGGTGCCTACTCGAGGACAATTGTTGTGTCGATCGTTCCTCGCGCTGCAGCCCTTGAATCAACCTTTTCCCCCTCCTCTCACCCCTTACCCTCACTCTCTGGTTCCGCCTCCCGCATCATCAGCCCTGTTCTTTGAGCCGCGCCACGCTGAAGAGACAACCTCGTGGAAAGGGAAAGAAAACACCAAAGTGAGCGCGTCTATGCGGGACTATGCGACAGCGAGCCCACGTCGACTCGGTCAAGGTGCTGCGACGCACAGCCGCGAGACACGCTACGTTGGGGGGAGAAAGCGGGAGTGGTCGAAGCTGAAAGCAAGTGTAGGCGGAGCTGGACGCGAAAAGGGAAGCGGCGGCAGCCGCTAGCAGCCGCCGCCGGCCCCGCCAGCCCCACACAGTGTTTGTCCGCAAACAAGCGGTGTGACGGTCCGCCCCAAAGCGCCAAGCGGCGAGCGCCTGGCGAGCGCCGCCCCCAAACTAATTAAGTGCTTTCAGTTTCCGCTCCGCCAGCCGCCGCGCTCCGGAATTGTATTTAATGCATCCATGAATTTCTCATCTTTTCTACTTACTCTCGAGAACCAGAGGCGTTAACAAGTGGATATCACTCCATTCTTTTAATAACAGAAAACAAATACAAATTCGACCTAAAACAGTAGTAATAATCAAAACGAACTGGTGAGTGAATCTGGGAACCGAGTACTGGCCAGGAAACCAAAGTGCGTGAACGTCGCACACCCGCGGCCGTATGACCTCCGATTCGTTCACTTGAAAGTACAGGCGAGGAAAATTATTCACACTTTCACTTGTGTGCGAATTCAAACATTTACTGGTGTGCGACATTAGAGGCACTTGGGTTTCTAGTGGGAAATGTAGACGGAGTAGAAAAGGACAAGAACAAGATAGGGCATAGGGCATAGAATAGCGAAAAAAAATACAAAAAGACAAAACTAACTGAGGAACTGATAATAATGGAAAACTCGGGAAAACTATAGAACCTTTTAACCTTCGAGAACTGTCAAACTCAGTAGCAGCAGCAACAGCGAAAAAGCCGAGGGGGAAATCACTTGCGTACTAACTAGTACACCCACGCCTGTACTAAAGACGTACTTACTCGTACTTGCAGCGTAATAATGCGTACTAATGGTAGAAATCAAGCGTTGTAGTGCCTTAATAACATTATTTTTCATAGATAATGAAAAACTACGCCAAAAATATGATGTACAATTGTGTACTAACGTACTAACTCGTACACTTTTATCAGGAGTGATTTCCCCCTTGGAAAAAGCATTACAGAATTATTGTGTGTCCTCGTGTACCATACCTCTCACTGCTATGATTCTGTTTGGTCAGCATTGACTCCATGAAGGCCCCTCTACGCACATCATGCTAACAAGCAGAGCTGCGAGGGGAGTCAGGACGGCACAAGGGAAAGAGGGAGGAGAGTTGGGAGGGCAGGCGCTCCCGTGTTTGCCGATCGATGGAAGATGACCCAAGTAAGAGGGATTTTCACAAAAAAACAACTTACATTTTCCCCCCGAATAAAGACATAATCACTGCTTCCAGCAACAGGGCGATTATGTGCTCCGCAGCAAAAAGGGACAGAATGGAAAAGAGAAGGGTAGGGGGTAGAAGAGTAAGTGAACGACAGGGTGTGTGTGTGTGTGTCAGAGAGAGAGAGAGAGAGAGAGAGAGAGAGAGAGAGAGAGAGAAACGGGGAAGGCGGAGCCTGGCGGGCGGTGGGGCTCAAGTGCAGAGCACACAGCGCCCAACCCGGCCCGCCCCCGGTCCGCCGCCGCCACCCCCTGCCTGGCCGTCCCCGCGCCGCCCCCGAGCAGCACAAAGCAGCGTCGCCACAAGTGGATTCAGTCTTAGTAAGCAATAAGCCGGGGGGCTGGCGGTGGCGGACTGTGTGTGTGTGTGTGTGTGTGTTCAGGCCGCCATTTTCCACACGGGCCGAAAAGGCTCGCGGGGCATAGACTTCCCCCCCCCCCCCCCCAGCTCTGAGGTCCCGCGGGCACCGCTGGTATTCCAGGGCGCTTTTCAGCGCACACAGAAAGCTTTTGCTTTTCCGCCAACTTGCCGGGCCGTGCCGCGCCGCGCCCGAGCCGAGTCGCGCAAGGTCCGTGCCTCTCGTGGCTGCCTGGAGGATTATCCAGTCGAGCAATATTTATTTGACGTTTCGCTGCCGTTCCATTTTGTTCGCCTGGAAGCCGGGGCGACTCCTCATCTTCTCTTTCGCCCCAGCAAAGAAAGAGAGGGAGAGAAAGAGAGAGGCTGGAGAGAGGGGTTGGGGCGGGGGTTTGCACGACAAGGCAGCAGTTGGTGGCCTGGCTCCGCGGACCCGGAAGCGCCGACACTCAGGGCTGGCCGCCAAAGTTGCAGCCTTTGTTGTAGCATATATATATTTTGGCTTTACATCTCGGGGCCCTGGCGGGGCG